GAACTATAAATCCCAGCAATTACAACTCCCCAAAGTCAAGGTCTATTTTCCCCAGGCTCCACCAGTGTTCACATTTGTGCATATTGAGTATTTGTGCCAAGTTTGGTCCAGATCCACCATTGTGTGAGTCCACAGTGCTCTCTGGATATAGGTGAACTACAACTCCCAAACTCAAGGTCAATGCCCACCAAACCCTTCCAGTGTTTTCCGTTGGGCATGGGAGTTTTGTGTGGCTAATTAGGTTCAAATCCATCGCTGGTGGAGCTCAGAATGCTCTTTGATTATAGGTGAACTACAAATCCCAGCAACTACAACTTCCAAATTACAAAATCAATCCTCCCCCAACCCCACTAACATTTACATGTGGGTGCATTGGGTATTTGTGACCAGTTTGGTCCAGTGAATGAAAATACATCTTGCATATCTGATATTTACATTATGATTTATAACAGTAGTAAAATGACTGTTATGAAGTAGCAACAAAAACAATGTTATGACTGGGGGTCACCACAACGTGAGGGATTGTATTCAGGGGTCACAGCATTAGGAAGGTTGAGAACCTCTGTTCTAGAGTGTAGATGCACCCTAGGAAGCAGGTCCTCGCTCTGTGATAGAGTCCTCTGTTTGTTTCAAGTGGTTACCTACAAGTATGATTCTTTAATTTCCAACAAAATACAGTAGAGTCTCACTTATCCAACATAAACGGGCCAGCAAAACATTGGATAAGCGAAAATGTTGGATAATAAGGAGGAATTGAGGAAAAGCCTATTAAACGTCAAATTACATTATGATTTTACAAATAAAGCACCAAAGCAACATGTTTTACAACACATCGACAGAAAAAAAAAAACAGTTCAATACATGATAATGTTATGTAGTAATTACTATATTGATGAATTTAGAACCAAAACATTGCAACGTATTGAAACCGCTGTGGACACAAGCAAGAGGCAGACTGCGTTGGATAATACAGAAAGTTGGATGAGCAAAGGTTGGATAAGTGAGACTCTTCTTGTCTCCTGTGCTATTCTAATAATATAATATAATATATTGTATATACATATAATATTTATAATATTATAATGTAATGCAATATAATACTAATAATATGATATTATAATTATATATTTATATTACATGTAATATTACTAACAATATTACGATATATTGGTATGGTGCAATATAGCAATGTTTAATGGTGATATTGTACTATATGCTAATAATATAATATATTGTATGTAATATATACCTTGTAAGCTGCTCTGAGTCCCCTTGGGGGTGAGAAGGGCGGCATATAAATGTTGTAAATAAATAAATAAATACTGTATATGTAATCAGCACAAAGCATCCAACTTTGGGGTGGCCAAGAAGTGACGCTTTGTCAATTCAATGCAGCCTAAGTTGGCTTCAAAAGCTCTCAAAGTAGAAGAATTTTTGGGAATTTGGTCAGCACATTGGTCATCCTTTTTATCATTACACTATGATTACTCCCTCTTTTTTAGCCCCTTTTTCTTGAATGGATCTGCTTCATTGCAGATGTGATCATCAGAGAAGTTTTCTGATTCTCTTTTTTATGACTCTTGATAGGAAGCAGTTTGAAAGTGTTATTTATAGTTGAAGAACCAGCTGCTCATGGAGCCATAGAGCTTATTTCAACGGTGACCTGCTTATCAGGCAATAAGGGAGCCATTGAGCCTTCAAATTGCTGAGCGCAGTGAAAAGCAGAAAGGGGAAGATTCTTCGCTGCCTCATTTCCTTTCCTTTGGCACCATCAAGGGGTCTTTGTTCCTTGGGAATTACAGCCTAGAAATATCCCTTCTTGGTTACGTACCCTTTGGCAGATTGAGGATAAGCTTCATAGGGGAGTACCAAGGGTGTTTCCCTCGAGTGGCGAACACAAAAAAAACCATCAAACACAAGTCAAAGGAAGGAAAAACAAACAAATCCCAGGTTGTGTCTAAATTTGGGGCCCGTTCAGAGCAAAAATGTGAAAGGGCTCAGAGGTGAGGGCACACACAAAGTTGCAAACCCCCTGAAGTCAAATGTTGGAGTCGACATAGTTCAACCAGGTTGAGATCACACCAGCCATCACTTCACTGTCTGCATCACTGAGACATATCTCCCCACTTTCTTACTTGTCATACAGGTGCATCTGTTAATATCAGAGTGGGGCAACAACCAGGAGTTCACGTGGATCTCTGCCACCAATAGGGACCAGCCATAGTGGTAATACGAGGGGCTGTTGATAAGTCTTTAGCTTTGTGTTCTTGTTTTGTTTCTATGGTATATGTTTCCAAAATTTTGTGTTTGTAGCTTACGACAGAACGAGAGACCAAATTGCCAGTATCCACTGGATAATGGAGAACGGCAGGGAGTTTCAGAAAAATATTTCTGTTTTATTGACTATTCTAAAGCCTTTGACTGTATGGATCATAATAAATTGTGGCAAGTTCTTGGTGGGATGGGCATACCAAATCATCTTGTCTGTCTCCTGAGGAATCTGTACAAGGACCAAATAGCAACAGTAAGAACTGACCACAGAACAACGGACTGGTTCAAGACTGGGAAAGGAGTACCGCAGGGTTGTATACTCTCACCCAACCTATTCAACTTGTATGCAGAACACATCATGCAATGTGTGGGGCTTGACGAATGCAAGGCTGGGGTAAAAATTGCAGGGAAGAAACATTAACAACCTTAGATATGCAGATGATACAACTTTGATGGCTGAAAGTGAGAAGGAGCTGAGGAGCCTTCTATCCAAGGTGAACGCAGAAAGTGCAAAAGCTGGGTTGCAGTGAAACATCAAAAAAACCAAGATTCTAGCAACCTGACTGATTGATAACTGSCAAATAGAGGGAGAAAACATGGAGGCAGTGACAGACTTTGTATTTCTAGGTGCAAAGATTACTGCAGACACAGACTGCAGCCAGGAAATCAGAAGGTGTTTACTTCTTGGGAGGAGARCAATGTCCAATCTCAACAAAATAGTGAAGAGTAGAGACATCACACTGGCAACGAAGATCCGCATAGTAAAAGCAATGKYATTCCCCATAGTCACCTACGGATGTGAGAGATGAACCATAAGAAAGATTGAGCGAAGGAAGATAGATGCTTTTGAAYTGTGGTGTTGGAGGAAAATTCTGAGAGTGCCTTGGACCGCCAGAAGGTCCAACCAGTCCATACTTCAGGAAATAAAGCCCGACTGCTCATTGGAGGGAAGGATATTAGAGGCCAAGATGAAGTATTTTGGCCACATAATGAAAAGACAGGAAAGTTCGGAGAAGACAATGATGCTAGGAAAATGGAAGGAAAAAGGAAGAGRRGCCAACCAAGGGCAAGATGGGTAGATGGTATCCTTGAAGTGACTGGCTTGACCTTGAAGGAGTTGAGGGTGGTGATGTGGGCTAGTCCATGAGGTCACGAAGAATCGGAAGCTACTGAACGAATGATCTAGGCATGCGGGAAAACAAAGTGGCAGAGTCTAAGGTGATATTCACAGCAAATGAGAGCAGAGGAGTGATAAAATTCTTGTTTCTGCAAGGAAAGTCCGCAAAGGATATTCATGGTGATATGTTGCAGACATTGGGGGAACAATGCCCTTCATATTCTACAGTTAAGAACTGGGTTGCCAAATTTCAAATGGGCCACTTCAGCACCAATTGTGAGGAATGTCCTGGATGACCAAGAGTGGTTGTTGTTCCGGAGATCATTGATACTGTGCACAACATCATACTGGAGAATTTGCAAATTTCAGCTAAAGGAATAGCAGACATCATGGAGATTTCTCGTGAATGTGTTTGTGTCATTATCCATTAACATTCGAACAGGAAGAAGCTCTCTGCAAAAGTGGGTCCCCAAATGTTGGACAACAGATCAAAAAAGCATGCGAGTGAAAACTTCCCTATCCATTTGACAGTGTTTCCGGACTGATAAGAATTTCCTGGATCGACTGGTCACTATGGATGAGACCTGGATTTATTTGTTTGACCCTGAAACCAAGGAGGAGTCAAAAGAGTGGAAGCACAGTGGTTTTCCTCGTCCAAAGGAGTCCAGGGTGCAAAAATCATCTACGAAGTTGATGGTGTCTGTGTTCTGGGATAAGGAGGGTGTGTTTCTAGTGGACTACCTTCAAAATGGTTCCACCATCAATGCAAGGTATTACACTGAACTTTTGGACCAATTGAAGACAGTTCTGAAGGCCAAAAAGCATGGCAAGCTGTCCAAAGGAATCTTGTTCCTGCAAGACAATGCCTTCGCTCACACTGCACAAGTGACCATGACAAAACTGGTGGAGCTAGGCTTCCAGCTGGTTGACGACACACCTTATTCACTGGATCTAGCTCCCTCCAACTATCATCTGTTTCCAAACCTGAAGAAGCACCTAAAGAGTACCAAATTTCACACCATTTCTGATACCATGGCTGCTATGGATGACTGGTTTGAGACACAACTGAAATCCTTCTTTTTGCAAGGCTTACAGAACTTGGAATACCGACGTAAGAAGTGTGTTGATATCAGTGGAGAGTATGTGGAATAAATATAAAGCATGGTGAGATGTGTTCCACACTGGGCATGCATACTCAGCAGCAGAGTAGCATAGTGCAAGGGCAGATGTCTTCACTGTATCTGGTTGTGATCCCCAGGTTGTGCCAGTCAGTTTTCATATGATACTTTTCCCCATGATAATAACTCTTCCAGGAGTAAACTTCACTTCTGAGCGGTCTCAGCCCCATTCTTAACTAGGAGGCATTTGTAAGTCGGATTTTTGTAACTCGATGACTGCCTGTATTTGTTAAAGAAAGGCTTCCCAACAGTATCTAACTGGGAGAATAAACACAGGAGGAGCAATGCCAGGTGGTAAGCCTCACCCAAGGATGCTGTTATTGCAATTTACCAGTTTCATCGGCTAAGCTTCTTGATGCAAATAAAGCAAATGAGGAAGTCTGAGCTAACTTCCTTCTTTGTAACGGCCAAATCCAGAAGTGGGTAGAATTGGCTAATACGTGTAAAGTGAAACTGAGTGCTCTTGTGATTTGGAGACAACAGAAGCACGGCAATAATGAAATTCTGGAGACTCAAACACCATCATCACAGGACGTATTTCTAGAACACTACTAGGTTAGTATTTCGCGGCTTAATTCATGGGGATCTAATTGCATTTCTATGGGATCTCCCACTTTAAGTACCTGGTTGAAGGCTGTGGAATTACAGAAATTGCAGTTTTACAAGGTCTTTCGCTTTCTCTGCCAAAGAGTGCAACTCCCAGGATTCCGTAGCATTGAGCCATGTCTGTTAAAGTGGGATCAAACAGCATTTGTTATAAGGGACCATAGGAGTTGTAGTTTTATAAGGTCTTTCATCTTATTTGTTTATTTATTTAGTACTAGCCGTCCCCTGCCATGCGTTGCTGTAGCTCAGTCTGGTGATCTGGAAAATAAAGCAATGAGAATGTGTTGGTTTCTAATATATGTAATTTCTTTCTGCTTGTGGCTAAACAGTATTTCTTGCTGTTTCTTTGTCAGTGTTGATGTGGAGATTGTCTGGTTTGTCTACTCTGGAACATACAACATATAATTGTCCTTCTTCAGGGGTCCCTTTCAAATCTAGGATACTATATGTCTCTCCGTGTGTGAATTGTATCTATCTATCTATATCTATGGCTGGATGGCTCTTTGTCAGGAGGGCTTTGATTACATTATTATTATTTTTTGCCCTGGTGAAGGGAGTTGGACTGGATGGCCTTTTCTGTTGGTCATGGGGGTTCTGTGTGGGAAGTTTGGCCCAATTCTGTTATTGGTGGGGTTTAGAATGCTCTTTGATTGTAGGTGAACTATAAATTCCAGTAACTACAACTCCCAAATGTCAAGGTCTATTTCCCCAAAACTCAATTTGTGTTCATATTTGGGCATATAGAGTATTTGTGCCAAATTTGGTTCAGATCCATCATTGTTTGAGTCCACAGTGCTCTCTGAATGTAGGTGAACTACAACTCCCAAATTCAAGGTCAATGCCCACCTAACCCTTCTAATGTTTTTTGTTGGTCATGCAATATTCCTGCTTCTTGGCAGGGGGTTGGACTGGATGGCCCATGAGGTCTCTTCTAACTCTATGATTCTATGATTCTATAGGAGTCCTCTGTGCCAGGTTTGGTTCCTATTCCATCATTGGTGGAATTCAGAATGCTCTTTGATTGTAAGCAAACTATAAATCCCAGCAACTACAACTCCCAAATGACAAAATCAAATTTTTTGAGTGATGGTTGCTCCTTGGGTTAGTAGGTATCTTCTGGCCAAATTTGTCAGCAATTTGTGCAGTCGTTTTTTAGTTATGTTAATCCCACAAACGAACATTATATTTTTATTTATATAGATTTATTTTAAATATTGGTACCCCGCCCTTCTCTACCCCCAAAGTGGGACCCAGGGTGACTTATAGACGGCAACAATTCAATGCCCTCCATATACAAACAGGTAAAACAACAGTTACATAATAAGCAAAACATTAAAATTAGATGAAAACCATTTAAAATAGTGTTAATTGAATTAGTTGACGATGTCTAAGTCCAAGTTATATGATCAACAACTTAATCTGAAGCTTGTCCATAGTCCATTTTTCATAGCATTGTCATTATTTTATTGTCAGCCTGCTATCCAAATGCCTATCCGAGTGCCTGGTCCCATAGCCATGTCTTCAACTTTTTCTGAAGGAAAGGAGGGAAGCTGTTTACCTAATTTCGCTGGGGAGTGAGTTCCACAGGCAGGGGGCCACCTCCAAGAAGGCCTTGTCCTTCGTCCCCACCAAGCACGTTTGCGATGAAGGTGGGATCAAGAGCAGGGCCTCCCTGGATGATACTAAGTTTCAAGGTGGGATGTAAGGGGAGATACGTTCAGATAAGTAAGCTGGGCCAGAACCATATAGGGCTTTATAGGTCAAGACTAGCACTTTGAATTGTGCTCTGAACTGGACCATCAGCCAGTGGAGCTGACATTACCATGTATTGTCGAAGGCTTTCATGGCTGGAATCACTAGGTTCTTGTGGGTTTTTTTTCGGGCTATAGAGCCATGTTCTAGAGGCATTTCTCCTGACGTTTCGCCTGCATCTATGGCAAGCATCCTCAGAGGTGTGAGGTCTGTTGGAAGTAGGAAAAATGGGTTTATATATCTGTGGAATGGCTGGGGTGGGGCAAGAGCTCTTCCCTCCCAGGCTCAGCCAGGCCTTCAAATGCTAATGAAGGTGATCAGTTGAAACATTCACACCTAGCTCCAGCAGAGAAGAGCTCTTTGCCCCACCCTGGTCATTCCACAGATATATAAACCCATTGTCCTAATTCCAACAGACCTCACCTCTGAGGATGCTTGCCATAGATGCAGGCGAAACGTCAGGAGAAATGCCTCTAGAACATGGCCCTATAGCCCGAAAAAACCCACAAGAACCTGACATTACCATGTTTTATAAGGTCTTTCACTTCTGCCAGGAGTGCCGGTGCCTCACCAAAAACAGATCCCAGAATTTCATAACATTGAGCTACAGCAATTAAAGTGATGTCAAACTGCATTAATTGTACAGTGTAGATGCATTTGTGTTCTCATTTAGAATAGATAGCCTTCCTTAGAAGTAGACGATGTCGATTAATGTTGATGTCCTTTAAAAGACAATCCCAGCAGAGGGCATTTTCATACAGGACAGTGGACCAAATGGAGTCAGTTGTCCCACATGAGGATGCCAATCCTTTTCCCCTTTCCTGTTCCTTTAATAACAGGTTAGCAATGGAGGAAGGCCAACCCTATGTAGGAACAGAAGGAGAAGAACTGGAAGCCATATCTGATGCTGATGCTATTTCTCCTGCTCCTGCCATGCATTCAAGTGAGGAAGATACCTATGCAAACATGACTCCATTTCAAGCATTCCAGGAACAGACAGAACCCACCAATCCACTAGGTATGTTGCATATGTATGATTTGGTCAATTGTGGTTCCTTCTTATCTTTTCACTATGTAACAAAATGTGAAAAAAGTCTGTTCCGGGATTGAAAGGGTTATTCTTGTTTAATTGTGCAGTACTTACAATGGCTCCCAAAGTGACCCATTTAAGGTGGAATCAGGTGTCAAACAGGGATGTGTTATTGCCCCAACCTTATTTTCCATCTTCATTGTTATGATACTTCATCTTGTTGATGGGAAGCTTCCCACCGGACTGGAAATCATCTATCGGACAGATGGCAAGCTATTTAACCTCAGCAGACAGTAAGCAAGGTTACAGCAACATCTGTTGTAGGACTCCAATATGCAGATGACAACATCATCTGTGCACATTCAGAAGAAGACCTACAAACCACTCTAAACACCTTCGCAGAAGCATACAAAAGCTCGGCCTGTCATTGAACACTGAGAAAACCAAAGTGTTCTTTCAGCAGTCAATCCCTCTCCAATGCCAGAAATACAGCTTAATGGTATAAGATTAGAAAATGTTGACCATTTCCACTACCTTGGCAGCCACCTCTCCACAAGAGTCAACATTGGCACTGAAATACAACACCATCTGAACTCTGTGGATGCAGCATATTTCCAACTGAAGCAGAGAGTGTTTGAGGACCAGGACACCCATAAGGATACCAAGGTGTTTGTTTATAAAGCTATTGTCCTCCCAACTCCACTATACACCTGCAAGATGTGGACTATCTACAGACATCACATGCAACTCCTAGATCGATTCCATCAGCATTGCCTCTGAAAAATCCTGCAAATCTCTTGGGAAGACAAGCGGACAAATGTCAGCGTGCTGGAAGAAGCAAAGACCACCAGCATTGAAGCGATGGTCCTCCGCCACCAACTCCGCTGGATCGGCCATGTTGTCTGGATGCCCGACCACCGTCTCCCAAAGCAGCTGCTCTACTCCGAACTCAAGAACAGAAAACGGAATGTTGGAGGACAGGAAAAGAGATTTAAAGATGGGCTCAAAGCCAACCTTAAAAACTCTGGCATAGACACTGAGAACTGGGAAGCCCTGGCCCTTGACCGCTCCAGCTGGAGGTCAGCTGTGACCAGCAGTGCTGTAGAATCTGAAGAGGCACAAATGGATGGCAAAAGATAGAAACGTGCCAAGAGGAAGGCGCATCAAGCCAACCACGACCAGGACCGCCTTCCACCTGGAAACCGATGTCCTCACTGCGGGAGAAGATGCAGATCAAGAATAGGGCTCCACAGTCACCTATGGACCCACCAGCAGTACACTGATCCTGGAAGACTATCCTACTCAGACAACGAGGGATTGCCTAAGTAAGATTTTTCTGGTTGAATTACCCTGCAATGCCTTTCGTGGACATGATTTCACAGGTATATTATATACTCCACTTGCTTGA